TTTTCCGGACAGAAAAATTAAATCAGTTGATGGAGCAAAAATAAAGTTTTTAAGAAAATAGTTTAATTGGTCGACGATCTTATGAATATGAGTTTTAACAGAAAGGTTTGAATCCAGCCAAAGGCCGAGGTATACTTTAACTCTTCCACACATTTAACAGGAGACAAATCTAAAAAGTGAAGGTTGAGCTCAGGTTAATGTTTGTTTGTCTTCTGAAAAAGCATGGTATATGATTTGGTTTTATTTAAAATGAGTTTATTGGAAAAGAGCCAATGTTGAACTAAATCAAAATCATATTGCAGGGAGTTGCAAATGTCTGAGACGTTTGGTTTTGAACAGTAACCAGTAAATATACTGGATATAGTATCATCTATTCCAGCACTGCTGCTGAAAGACAGTTCTCCTGTGGCCCTTTCGACATCAGCAGGACTAATTTCTGCAAATGAAAAAGAACTGTTGCAGGGTTGGGTGTAGTGGTCAGGAGCAGCTGGATGGAAAGGAGGATGAACGTGAGGAGATTGGGAGAAATGCAGACTGAAAGCATTGGCAATAGCAGCGGGATCATTTATTTCACTGTTTATATTCATTTGAATAGTGCTTTTATTAGATTTAGTAGATTGTTCATCTTTTTCCGGACTTGTCTTGGATTTCTATAGTTGTTTGACAGGCTGTTTGATATGGAGTTTCTGGTTTGAGTTGTGCGTGCATTTATGTATTTCTCCCAAAAAAGCTTGGTCTGATATACTCTCCATGCCCTATAGCTCTGCTTTTATAAATTAGAGTTAGGAGTTAGAGTTTGAGGTTAGAGTCAGGATCTTTTGTATTTTGATGTATTTTTAGACTCTAAGAGAAGAGAGGACCACCCTCCCTCAGCCAATCAGCTCTCAGCCCAAAGGGTCCAATAGTGACTCGGCTCTGTCTCACACATTTGCAAAGATCCATTTCTAATGAGACAAGAACATTTTATTTCTCAGACTCTTTCTGTTGGAACAAACACATGTATCAGACGACCTGAACTCTGACAATAACAATTATATTTGTGTCAATCTCATACATCAAGTGTTTATTTCAGATTTTTAGGAAAGCAGATGACAGTTTATTGAGAAATATTATGATTGTACACATTTCCTGTTTGAGAGGCGTCCTTCCTCTTCCACTTCATGTTTACAATTCACTGAAAGCGACGAAATATCTGCTCACGGAAAAAAAGACGTTTTATATTTGGATTCTGGCTTAATCTATCTATCTTTCTTTTCACTTATAGCCTGCAACTGCTGAGACTGCTACTGCTGAGACTGCTACTGCTACTACTGCTACTGCTGAGACTGCTACTACTGCTACTGCTGAGACTGCTACTGCTGCTACTGCTACTGCTGCTACTGCTACTGTTGAGACTGCTACTGCTGAGACTGCCACTGCTACTGCTGTTACTGCTGTTACTGCTACTACTGCTACTACTGCTACTGCTACTGCTGCTGATACAGCTGCTGCTATTACTACTACTACTACTACTGTTACTGCTACTGCTACTGCTACTATTGCTGATACTGCTACTGCTGATACTGTTACTGCTACTACTGCTACTGCTGATACTGCTACTGCTACTGCTGTTACTGCTGTTACTGCTACTACTGCTACTACTGCTACTGCTACTGCTACTGCTGCTGATACAGCTGCTGCTATTACTACTACTACTACTACTGTTACTGCTACTGCTACTGCTACCACTGCCCCTGCTACTGCTGCTAGTACTGATACTACTACCAGTAGCAGTAAGACTGAGGCTGTAGATCCGGGACTGAGTGTAGAGTGGAAAAAGTGTGTGTTTGAGTCTCCTCAGGGTTGTTTTGGAAAAGCTGTGGTTTCTTTAATGAAGCTCTGTTAGAACTGGGACTTTACAGATTTGAACACAGACTCTCAGATCATCTCTATTCAACTCACGTCTTATACAAACACACACACACACACACACACACACACACACACAAAGACACACGCGCACAAAGAGACGCACACACACACACACACACACAAAGACACACGCGCACAAAGAGACGCACACACAGACACATGCACGCAAGTCTAAAGTCACATCTCAACGCACACTGAACTCATAATAGTTCATGTGGGTGGAGTGTCTTGCTTAAGGACACAACCACAGTTTGGTACTTTACAGTCGCCCCACTGTGGCACCTGGTGTTCCCAGAGGTCTCCCATCACAGTACTAACCAGGTCCCGCCCTTCTCAGCTCCTGCAGGCTCAGGGTGGTTCACACTCGGGTGGTGGTGGTGGGACAGTGTGGTATTTCCTGCTGCGTCGTCAAACCCAGAACCAGGATGATTAGAGCTTTGGTGATGACAGCAAGTTTATTTGTATTGAACAGTTCATACACCAGGCAACTATTAACAAGAGTGAAGATCCAAAGATACTCTCTGGTCTCTCTCTGGTCTCTCGCTGGTCTCTCTCTGGTCTCTCGCTGGTCTCTCTCTGGTCTCTCTCTGGTCTCTGGTCTCTCTCTGGTCTCTCGCTGGTCTCTCTCTGGTCTCTCTCTGGTCTCTGGTCTCTCTCTGGTCTCTGGTCTCTCCCTGGTCTCTCTCTGGTCTCTCTCTGGTCTCTGGTCTCTCTCTGGTCTCTCTCTCTTGTCCTTCTGGACTCTCTCTCTGGTCTTTCTTTTCAAAGCCAGATTCGGTCAGACCTCTGAAGCTAAGCAGGAGAGTGCCTGGTTAGTACTGTGAAGGGAGACCTCTGGGAACACCAGGTGCCAGACTGAGGCGGCTGCGGCTGTAAAGTGCCGAACTGTTTGTCCTTAGGCAAGAAAAAGTCCCCCACAGTAGAATGAGTCTGGTGTGTGTGTGACTGGTTGGTGGTGGTGGGAGGGGCCGATGTCACAGACTAGTTGCCTCGCTTCTGTCAGTGTGCTGCAGGGCAGCTGTGGCTACAGTAGTACAGTATATCATCACTGTGTTTGGAGTGAATAAATAGTGATGTGAAGAGACTGTGAGAGTCTGAAAAAGCACTTTCTAAAACCAATGCATTATTGTTGGGGCGGCACGGTGGCTGAGTGGATAGCACTCTCGCCTCTCAGCAAGAAGGTCCTGGGTTCGAATCCCGGTCGGACCAGGGCCTTTCTGAGTGGAGTTTGCATGTTCTCCCCGTGTCTGCGTAGGTTTCCTCCGGGTACTCCGGTTTCCCCTACCACTAAAAATATGTACAATAGGTCTGGCATGCGCCTCCTGTACTGGCGACCCCGCTCCCATCTCTGTGTGGAGTGAGAGGACAAATGCCCAAAACAAATAAATAATAATAACAATTGTAAACCGCTTTGAGACTCAGATCTGCAGTGAAAAGGCGGTATATAAATAAAGATTACTTACTTACATTACTACTTGTTATTCTGTCTAGTCCTCCTCTCCTCCCCTCTCATCCCCTCTACTCCCCTCTCATCTCCTCTACTCCCCTCTCCTCTCATCCCCTCTACTCCCCTCTCATCTCCTCTACTCCCCTCTCCTCTCCTCTCCGCTCATCTTCTCCCCTCCCCTCTCCTCTCCTCTCCTCTGCTCCCCCCTCCTCTTCTCTCCTCTTCTCTCCTCCCCTCCCCTCCCCTCCCCCCTCTGTGGTTCACCTGTTCAGAATCAAACTCAAATTTATGGAGCTGGAGTTTAGTAAGAGGCAGATTCCTGAAATTCTCTGCTCAACACAAACCAGAAAACTCCTCTGTCTGCACCACCACGAGGCCAGTCCCTGTGCGCCTCAGAGTCCCAGCAGGAGGCCAGTCCCTGTGCGCCTCAGAGTCCCACCACGAGGCCAGTCCCTGTGCGCCTCAGAGTCCCAGCAGGAGGCCAGTCCCTGTGCGTATGGCACAAACATGTCACAGATGTCATGTACTGTATATACTGTAGTACTTGAGTATTAGACCAGTCTTGTTCCAGTACCTGTGCTCCCCTCAGAGGTCCCAGAGAAACGTTTTATTTATTTAACGTTTATTAAGAGGGCGACAGTAGCTCAGTTGGTAGAGCATTGGCCTTTGGGCCTGAAGGTCGTGGGTTCGAGCCCACCATAAGACCTACTTCACGACTGCCACTGATGACTGCTGTCGTTGTGTCCTTGGGCAAGACACTTAACCCCACTTTGCCTGAAGCTCCCATTGAAAGATCTCAGCTCCTGTGGACTCACCACCTGCAGGAGGATCAGTGAGGGGCTGGTGCTCTGTGACTGGGTGCAGCTCTGACTGCCACCCCCCTGACCCAGAAATGGATTAAGGGGAAGAAAATGGATGGATGGTTTATTAAGAGGAATAACCCCTTGAGAATATGATGAATCATCTTTTTAACACGGGGGGTGTGGAAGAAGAGAGCATCAGCTTCAGTGTGACGAAGACTGTAAGTGAAAATAAAAGATGTAAGGTATTGTTTCAGTTATGTGGGATGATTAAAATATAAGAATAACCAGTGGGAGTGTCGACGTGCAGGCAGTGAGGACCAGGACAGTTGGAGAAACATGTCACAGTGTGTCCTGTAGGGGCAGCGCAGAGCAGACCTACACAGGCTGTCATAGACTGTGTTGAGGGGATGGAGAACAAGGATGGGAAGTAACTGAGAAACAAGCCTTTTCCGGACAGAAAAATTAAAGCAGTTGATGGAGCAATATAAAGTTTTTAAAGAATAGTTTAATTGGTTGACGATCTTATGAATATGAGTTTTAACAGAAAGGGTTGAAACCAGCCAAAGGCCGAGGTACTTGAACTCTTCCACACATTTAACAGGAGACAAATCTAAAAGTGAAAGTTGAGCTCAGGTTAATGTTTGTCCTCTGAAAAAGCATGGTATATGATTTTATTTTATTTAAAATGAGTTTATTGGTCAAGAGCCAATGTTGAACTAAATCAAAATCATCAATCCCTACTCCGTCAGTACTTCACTGTGACTTTATTTTTACTTTAATAGTACTTTATTGTATTACTTACTGTCACATGCTGAGAGTGTGTTTGTTTTCCTCCTCAGCTCGTCCTGATCTCCAACATCAGTGTCCTGCAGGACTCTGTGGAGTCTCTGCAGCAGATCCAGGACAACCTCACCTCCCAGCTGGCTCTGAAGGAAGGTACGAACCCACCAGGACCCAACAAGACCAAACCAGACCAGACGAAACCGTTGGATTTTATTGATGGATTTCATTGATGGATTTCATTATGTTGTTGATTTGCAGTTTGAGAATCAGGGTAATTTTAGTAGTATAGTGAGGGTTCACCTTCTTATCTATCTCCTCCCATCTCCTCTCGCTCCCTCTCTCCTCTCTCCTCCTCCTCTCCTCCCTTCTGTCTAATCTTTTACAGTTGGAATTCATTAGATCCTTAATTAGAGACTGGTGCTTTTCCGACTCCTAACCTAAGATATTTTTAATTTCTCGGAACAGAGCCGATCCCGTGAGTGTGTTTGTTTGCGTGAGTCAGCCGTTACCGTGGCGACAGCGGCGAGAGGAAAGTTTGTCTCAGAATAAACTCAGAAGAATGTGTCCTTTCATGGAGGCAACGAGGGTAGCAGGAGAGAGGAGAGGAAAGGGGCAGGAGAGGAGAGAAGGAGGAGAGACGGGAGAGGAGAGAGGAAAGAGAGAGCAGAGAGGAGGGCGAAGGGGAGGAGAGGGAGGAGTACGCGGCACCTCAAAATAAGTCTTATACATTACATCCTTGTTTTACAAGGATACTACCAAAACTATATGACATTAAAGTTGGGATCCCTAGCTCTCAAACTACAAATTAATAATGAAATAGGAAGAGAAGAGAGGAGAGAGGAGAGGGGAGAGAGCTGGGAGAAGAGAGGAGAGAGAAGAGAGGAGAGAGGAGCGAGGAGAGAGGAGATATAAGGGAGAAGAGAGGAGAGAGGAGAGAGGGGAGCGAGGAGAGAGCAAAGAGGAGAGAGGGGAGAGAGGAGAGAGCAAAGAGGAGAGAGGGGAGAGAAGAGAGAGGGGAGAGAGGAGAGGAGAGAGGAGAGGGGAGATAGAGAAGAGGAGAGAGAGGAGAGAGGGGAGCGAGGAGAGAGGGGAGCGAGGAGAGAGGGGAGAGAGGAGAGAGGAGAGAGGAGAGAGGAGAGAAGAGAGAAGAGAGAAGAGAGAAGAGAGAAGAGAGAAGAGAGAGGTGAGAGAGGAGAGGAGAGAGGAGAGGGGAGAGAGAGAAGAGGAGAGAGAGGAGAGAGGGGAGAGAGGAGAGAGGAGAGGAGAGAGGAGAGGAGAGAAGATAGGAGAGAGAGAAGAGGAGAGAAGAAGAGAGGCGAGGAGAGGAGAGAGGGGAGTGAGGAGATAGGAGCAAGGAGAGAAGAGAGAGGAGAGAGGAGAAAGGAGAGAGAGGAGAGAGGAGAGAGGGGAGTGAGGAGAGGAGCGAGGAAGAGAGGATAGGAGGATTTTCCAGTCTTTGGCAGAAATTCAGGAAGGAAATCAAACGGATGTAATGAAATAATGGTTTTGAAGGAAACAGCTGCAGGGAGTTAGAGTTTGGCTACTGGAAAATTCACCATCATGCGATCATTAAACAGTTGAAGCTGGTTTACCTGATTCCTCTCCCCTCTTTCCTCTCTCTCTTCTCTCCTCTCTCCCCTCTCTCTCCCTTAGTCCCAATAGAAAAAGTATTGGAAATCTAAAATATGTGAACCAATCAAAACACAACATTCTGTCTTCACAATATTCAAAAACATCTTATGGAAAGAGCCCTGTGAGTCACTATTGGACTTAGTAGAGTATAGTTTTCTTTCTCACTTTTCTGTCTGCTCCGAGACCTAATCCAGGTCTTTTCTGGGTCCAACAGGACTCAACTGGACTGGATGGACTCCAGGAATACACTTTATGCTAAGAAATAAAGCAGAACTATCTTATTTACACTTTATTCAAAGAACCTTCTCAGCCTTCTGTGGAAGTTCTCTACGTTCGCTACGATACACATGTATTTGAGGTCTCTATAGCAACTGTTTGTGCGTCTGTGATGTAAACGTGTGTGAAGAGTGTGTTTCCCTCATGGACAGTGGAAAAAAGCAGAAGTGACAAATACCTCACCTCTCACTGAGCTACAGACTCTGGTTCAGACTCTGACTTAGGCCCTGTTTAGAGTGCAACAATGTATTTCTAACGCCTGGCCAGTAGGGGGCAGTGGAACTTTACAACATGACACGCGCGACCCTCAGCAGTAGAACTACTTCCTCAACAACATCCTCCTCGGGCCACCGCAAAGTTGTGAAAGAATACACCAACATCATTCTGCATTTAACAGTAGCAGCGAAAATGGAAACTGAAACTACAGCTTTGCTTGTTTTTTTTTGGACGAACGAAGGATTAGAATCCTCCTCCGTGTTTATCCGCAGCCATTGTTGTTTACGTTTGTTCTCGGCTACAGAGGGGAAGTGGTGAGGTCATAGCAACGGAGAATTCACATCTTTTTTCTTCACAGTGCTGTGAAACAACCCCCGCTGAGCAGTGTATCTGTTCTGTTCTGGAGGCTGGTTCTTAACGCTTGTGTTTTCACCTGAAACACTGTCTAATGTAAACGAAAGGCCAAGCGATACACAACATTTTACTGTCGTTGCGTCTCCATGTAAACGGCCCCTCAGACTCTGGTTCAGACCCTGGTTCAGACTCTGGTTCAGACTCTGGTTCAGACTCTGGTTCAGACTCTGGTTCAGACTCTGGTTCAGACTCTGGTTCAGACTCTGGTTCAGACTCTGGTTCAGACTCTGGTTCAGACTCTGGTTCAGACTCTGGTTCAGACCCTGGTTCAGACCCTGGTTCAGACTCTGGTTCAGACTCTGGTTCAGACTCTGGTTCAGACTCTGGTTCAGACTCTGGTTCAGACTCTGGTTCAGACTCTGGTTCAGACCCTGGTTCAGTCTCTGGTTCAGACCTGAGGTAGAAGGACATACTCCTCTTGTTGACCTCATACCAAAATAATCTAATATTGTTATTGATGCCAAAATAAGATCATTAGCAGCTCAGAAACATTCAAATAATAATGATATTGTCACAATATCAAAGAATAGCGCTCACAGTGTTTGGCTCAATGACAAACAAACAGTGGGGAATGTTGCTTGAACTTTCAACCAGACCACCAATATGGGGATTCCCTTGTCCTGGGTCCTGGTTCCTCTCCCCTGGTTCCCCTCTCCCCTGGTCCCTCTCCCCTGGTCCCTCTCCTCTGGTCCCCCACAGACCTCACAGATAGGGATTCCCTTCTTCTACAGTAGGCGTGTCCTTGAACACACCACAGTGCCACATTCACAGTCTTTCCCCTGGTCCTGGTCCTGGTTCATGCGTCATGTTTATTCTGAGCTCTGACGGAGAAGAAACATTTGACAGAGGAGCGCTGCAGGACTGGAAACTCTGACCTGGACTAAGGAGGAGTTTAGTCCTGGAGAATTCTGGAGAAATGAGTCAGACCACACCGAGACCAAACCAAGACTAATAGAGTTGTATCCACAGGATTCAAAAGAATAAAACGTGAGGAAGACTTTTCCAGAATGTAGCTGCAGCAATCTGAATACACTAGACCTCCTCTCTGCACTGCTGTTTTAGTCCTGGTTTTTACCCACATCTTGTATTTTTCTCTCTGAGAGAGACCAGAGAGAGGCCAGAGAGAGGCCAGAGAGAGGCCAGAGAGAGGCCAGAGGGAGGCCAGAGGGAGGCCAGAGAAAGACCAGAGAGAGACCAGAGAGAGACCAGAGAGAGACCAGAGAGAGACCAAAGAGAGATCAGAGAGAGATCAGAGAGAGACCAGAGAGAGAGATCCGAGAGAGATCCGAGAGAGATCAGAGAGAGAGACCAGAGAGAGATCAGAGAGAGAGACCAGAGAGAGGCCAGAGAGAGGCCAGAGAGAGGCCAGAGGGAGGCCAGAGGGAGATCAGAGAGAGATCAGAGAGAGACCAGAGAGAGATCCGAGAGAGATCAGAGAGAGAGACCAGAGAGAGATCAGAGAGAGATCAGAGAGAGACCAGAGAGAGACCAGAGAGAGATCCGAGAGAGATCCGAGAGAGATCAGAGAGAGAGACCAGAGAGAGGCCAGAGAGAGGCCAGAGAGAGGCCAGAGGGAGGCCAGAGGGAGGCCAGAGAAAGACCAGAGAGAGACCAGAGAGAGACCAGAGAGAGACCAGAGAGAGACCAAAGAGAGATCAGAGAGAGATCAGAGAGAGACCAGAGAGAGATCCGAGAGAGATCCGAGAGAGATCAGAGAGAGAGACCAGAGAGAGATCAGAGAGAGATCAGAGAGAGACCAGAGAGAGATCCGAGAGAGATCAGAGAGAGAGACCAGAGAGAGATCCGAGAGAGATCAGAGAGAGAGACCAGATTCATCAGTTTTAGACAGCCCTTTCTGAAGTCTCTTCACATGTCATCATTCACTCCAAACACAGAGGTGATGAACTACTACTGTACTGTAAAATTGACAGAAGCGAAGCAAACAGTCTGTGCCATTGACCCCTCACACCGGACTCATTCTAATGAGGGTGAAGTGTCCCACCAGGTGCCCACTGCGGCACCTGGTGTTTGCAGAGGTTTCCCATCACAGTACTGACCAGGCCCTGTCCTGCTCAGCTTCAGAGGTCTGACAGTGATAGTCCAGACCTACAGCTTTACATTTTACAATATGAATTGGTATCAATCTCGTTTTAAAGAGCCAAAAGGCCTGAACTTGCTTTAATATGGTCCACATTTCTGACCTGAACATTCCTGTCTCTGAGTCAGAACCTTTTAAGTAACTTCACAAACACATTCTCTGAGTCTGACTTTTACAGCAGCTCTGGCACAGGAAGTCCTGCCGAGCCAACTTCCTGTGGCGTTCGGGGTTTGGAGGGAAGTGATGGAACGTTGGGGAAGGTCGATACGAGGCGGCCATTGTGTTTTCATCAGATAAAAGTGATGAAGACCAAGATGAAGGAGGAGAGGAAAATTTGAGGCAGAGGGTAGTGCTTTAAAAACTGTGGGAAGAACCTCAAGTCTGGTTCTGGGACTCTGTGGTCTCAGGTGGAGTCAGAGGCTGCAGGTCCAACCTCTGGCCCGGGAGCCATCTGTGGCCCATTGTATCATTCTGCTTTGCTAACCCAACATTAGCCACAGCGATCATAGACATACATCCTCTGTCATCCACACAAAATATAATATCTCAACATATATATCTTTTACAGGATAAATCATTTCCCTAAAACTTAAAACTTTTTTAAATTGAACCTCAAGTCAATTCAAGTAGGAACAAAGTGCTTCTGCCACTTTTGGAATTCCCTCTTCACAAAAATCATACTCCATCCATTCATCTTCTTCCCCTTAATCCATTTCTGGGTCGGGGTTGGCGGTCAGAGCTGCACCCAAATGTTAAATTCAGTTAAAATTATACTTTAACTGTAAAAATACACAAAGAAATTAAACATACTGCCTTCTTTTCATTCAATAATATAAGCGCATATATAAGTGCTTCTGAAACTTTGTGTTTATAAATTGGTTTTAAAGGTTGTGAAGCATTTTGTGTTGCATTCTGTGTGAACCGTGCTATACAGTAGAAATAAAAGTTTGTTGTTGACTGGTTACATAATGATGAAGTAACCTTTTCTCTCTCTGTAGTGAACATTGGGGAGTTCTTGTATCGCAGTAATTGCGACTCGCTAATCTGGATCTGTGTTTTGTTTTAGCTACGTATAAAGTTTACGGTCTTTGATATAAAGCCACGTTGATCAAAGACGAGAACAGAGAAGACCATAAGCGGCGAAAGAGAAATATAAACATCCTGTAAACGTCATATCATTTATTTGTCCATTTCTAGGTGTATGAATCATTTAAGAATTGACCAATCAGATTCCTTTATTCACAAGGAAAACTCCAGCTTGCCTTAGCAACCGTCTTAGCAACATGTCATCCACTGCTAACACAGCAGAAGAAATGCCCATATAAGGAAATGAGCTCCAGCTAGCTTGTGTTAAAATGAAATCTGCCTCTTCTGCATCCAGGCTAACGCTGTGGTGATGTCACACTCGGTCAGTCCACTCCTCATATCCTCACAAATGTTACAGACCCAGGGGCCGTCTCGATGTGAGGGACTGGTGCCTGTTCATGAGCAAAGCACTCATCGCTGTCAGACATTGGGCGAACCCTGAGCTGGAGCCAGATTCAGGGAACAGAGAAACATGAGGTCATGGCGACTTTAGAGATTAGAGTTAGAGAGAAGTATTTAAAGTATTTCCACTTATTGTGATCAATGTGGAGCCTGCATATGAGTCATGTTTGATAAAGGTTTCCCATTTGAATATTTAAGATGAAAAATAACAGAGAGAGACCAGAGCGAGACCAGAGCGAGACCAGAGAGAGAGACCAGAGAGAGACCAGAGAGAGAGACCAGAGAGAGACCAGAGAGAGACCAGAGAGAGACCAGAGGGAGACCAGAGGGAGAACAGAGAGAGACCAGAGAGAGACCAGAGAGAGACCAGAGAGAGACCAGAGAGAGACCAGAGAGAGACCAGAGAGAGACCAGAGAGAGACCAGAGAGAGACACCAGAGAGAGACACCAGAGAGAGCGGAGACAGTGACCAGAGAAAGACCAGAGTGAGAGAAAAAAGGGAGACCAGAGAAAGAGACCAGAGAGAGAACAGAGAGAGAGAGACCAGAGAGAGGGACCAGAGAGACTGGAGAGACCAGAGAGAGAGACCAGAGCGAGAGACCAGAGCGAGAGACCAGAGCGAGAGACCAGAGCGAGAGACCAGAGAGAGAGAAAGAAGAGAGACCAGAGAGAGACCAGAGAGAGACACCAGAGAGAGACACCAGAGAGAGCGGAGACAGTGACCAGAGAAAGACCAGAGTGAGAGAAAAAAGGGAGACCAGAGAAAGAGACCAGAGAGAGGGACCAGAGAGACTGGAGAGACCAGAGAGAGAGACCAGAGCGAGAGACCAGAGCGAGAGACCAGAGCGAGAGACCAGAGCGAGAGACCAGAGCGAGAGACCAGAGAGAGAGAAAGAAGAGAGACCAGAGCAAGAGACCAGAGTGAAACTATGCACTTTATTATGAACTTTTAGAGTTATGTTTTTGTTTTTGTTTGTTTGGTTGATCTGTCTTTAAAATACTGTATACTGAATGGTATTTATTATCGATGTATGAATTCTTTGTCTACTGCGTTCCTTTTGTTTCTTTTAACACATTCATAGGTTGTTTAGTTGAGAGTTTACTTGTTGGTTCTGTGTCTGTGTGGTTTGGAAACATCACAGATAAAGAAAAGAGAGCTTTAAACAAGGTGCTCCGCTCTGCAAAGAGGACCGTGGGCTGTGAGCTTCCTGTTCTGGAGGTTCTTTATAAATCCAGACTTTTAAACAAAGCTCTTAGGATTGTCAATGACTCTTCTGGCCACCCTGGGAAAGCCATGTTCCAGCTTCTTCCCTCTGGCAGAAGATATCGTTCTCTGAGATGCAGGACATCTCGTTACGCTAACAGTTTTTATCCACAAGCTGTTATCAGTGTGAACAGAGCACTTTAATGATTTGCACTTGTTTTGAACTGTTTTAGTCGATCGATTTCACAGCAACATTTGTTTACTGTTTTATTTTTGTCTTTTAATGTTGTTTTATGTCTGTATTTGTCTGTGCACACTGGAGACTTTTGCTAATGTATTCCAATGTGTTTTTTTTACTGCAAATGGCAAATAAACTGAATCTGAAGAGTTTTGTGTGTGTGTGTTTTGTGTTGACGTTGTTGTTGTGTGTGTTTTGTGGCAGAGACCATCGACATGCTGCAGCTGAACCTGACTCAGGCCGAGCACCAGACCCAGACCTGCTTCAGTCTGAAGGAGGCGACCGAGGCCCAGACCCGAGCTGCGGAGAGCCAGACCAAGGCCTGCCAGTCCAGCCTGGGCTATCTGCAGAGACAACTGTGAGTACTACTACTGCTACTGCTGCTTCTACTACTGCTGCTTCTACTGCTACTACTACTGCTACTGCTACTGCTACTGCTTCTACTACTGCTACTGCTACTGCTACTACTACTGCTACTGCTTCTACTACTGCTACTGCTACTGCTTCTACTACTGCTACTACTACTGCCGCTACTACTGCTGCGGCTACTGCTGCTATTACTGCTGCTGCTCCTGCTACTGCTGCTGCTATTACTGCTGCTGCTCCTGCTACTACTGCTGCTGCTACTATTACTGCTGTTGCTACTGCTGTTACTACTACTACTTCTGCTACTTATTGATCCTTCTTATGTTACTTTCTGTTTCAGTCAAAAATGTAAAGCCAGTGAGTCGGACGCGAAGAGGACCACAGCTCCGCAGTCCTCTGGTCCCACAGGGTCTGGACCAGGACTGAGACCTGCACTGGTCCTGGTGCTGGTCCTGCACCTCCTCCTCCCCCTGCACCTCCTCCTCTGTGAGTCCTAAATACACACTCTACACAACACATAGTTCTTGTTAGCAACAGTGATCTCAAAGTAGAAACAGGTTCATGGATTCAAAGAAAAATTAGTTCAAGTTGGAGCAGCATCTGCAGTCAGAGCTCTCCTTTTACCGCTCAGTCTACGTCCCCTCTCTTGCCTCTGGTCATGAGGGAGCAGTGTCTGTAGTCAGAGCTCTCTGTTCCCTCTCTCACCTCTGGTCCTGATCTTTGAGTAAATACATGGATTTTTGTTTTCTGGCTTCACACTTCCAGTTAAAGTGTTGATAACTGATATTTCCTGTGTGTGAAACCTCTGCTTCTGCTGAAGATCATTATTTGTGAAAAAGTAGTGTCAGAAATGTGATAATTCAAACCAGCGTCAAACTCACGGTCCAAACCTGAGACACGTCTGCCCCCTGTTGGACACGGAGCTTACTGCACTTTACAACAGGCCCAGGATTCTGACCGACAGTCTGTTCTGAAAGCTCTAAATCTTCTTTTCAAAACGTTAAAAATCACATACACAGATACAACATACCTAAATAATGTGGATACAATCTTTGAGTTGTATACAAAAACTTTACAGCCTGTACAATTCTTTTCTCCAGGGGCCACTATTTTGATATCTGTAAATTGTGGAGATCTGGCCTTACTTCATTTAATTTAAATTGGACCAACATATTTAAGTGTGAGCTCCTTCTGTTCAAATGTAAGAAAATGTGTGTTCTTGATAAACAATTATTTACAGAAGAGAAGAAGAATCCAATGTTATGATTGTGTTTGTGTGTTAGCTCATCTTTGGCATCTGCAGCTAGCATTTTGTTAACCATTTAAAAAATATGGGAGGTACTTTGAGGCTATTATTTGATAAATATGGATATTACATTTTGAGGATGGGGAAAGGTTTGAGGGCCACATGGAATTGTGAATCGACCGTATGTGGCTCCCGTGCCGCACTTTGCCCAGGTCTGCTCTGTACCCTTCTCTCTCTGTGCAGATGTTGTTCCCACAGAGCAATCGAGAGACCAAAACTACAGACACCTCAGCTTCACCATTTATTTTCTCATTTTTGTTTTAGAATTTCTGTGTGTGGGAGAAAAGAGGCTGGACTCACTGCTGTACACTTCCTGTTTACTCTCCAGTCGCCATGGAAACGCTGCATCCCTGGCCTCTGATTGGACGAACTCTTGCCATGACTTTCTGCTGATGTTTGGCATCTTCTCACTGACGTTTCATTGTTTTATATTTGTTTGGGTTTGATTTCTAACCAAATATCTTATTACTGTTTGTCTTAGTCACATGATAAATGCATTCAAATATTAAAGCTAGGGTATCTCCGTTTACAGGAAGAATCTTCTGTCTTCAAATTATTGTTATACTTATTGTTAGAATGAACCCTGTGAGTCACTAGTTGACACGTTGGCCTATTTTGAAAGCTCTGAACAAGTTAGTTGAACTCTGGTCTCTCATATCTCTCCCTGGTCTCTCTCTGGTCTCTCTCTCCCTAGTGTCTCTCTTCTCTCTCTCTCTGGTCCCTCACTCTGATCTCACTCTCTGGTCTATCTCTTGTCTCTCTCTGGTCTCTCTCTGGTCCCTCACTCTGATCTCACTCTCTGGTCTATCTCTTGTCTCTCTCTGGTCTCTCTCTGGTCTCTCTCTTGTCTCTTTCTGGTCTCTCTCTCCCTGTGTCTGCTTAGCTCCTACCACAAAAAAATGTATGTGTTATGTGGATTTTTTTTTTTTAAGTTTTGAGGTTTGTAATCTAGGTACCCCAACTTTAATACTTTAAAATATTTCTAAAAATATTCAACATGTTTTAAAGCTGTCAATTTAACATTTGACCTCAATACAGAGAGAATATGATGTAAAATGTCTCAACACAAAAGCTTAAATTCAAGATAATGTTGTATGTACATTGAAACTGACATATAGATATATAAATATATAAAAGATTGTTTTGGATGTTTTTGTTGCCTTCTCGCTGCTTCTGTTATTATTTTGTGTTGAATGTATTATACTTTAGGAGTTTAAACCAAGGATATATTTGTCTTATTTCCTTCATCTCTGCTTCGTGCTGATGACGTCTCTCTGTGGTAATGGTGCTTTCTCTGTGACACTGGCTGACTCTGTGTGTCTTGCTCAAAGGCTGAATCTAACCCACACACTGCACCGGTTCTGTCGTCTCTGACTTGTGCAGAAAATAAATACATCTGTTTTTACTGAAGAGTAAGAGAACAGAGTTTTTATCCTCGAATCGTCGTGAATTTGAAATAAACTGAATATTTTTGACCAGCAGGTGTCAGTGTGGCTCATGTTTGATTGTATAGAAGTTATGTTCCGACACTACTCTACTCTGTTCTAGTCTACTCTACTCTACAGTACTCTACACTACTCTTCTCTAGTCTAGTCTACTCTACACTACTTTACTCCACACTACTCTACTCTACTATACACAACACTACTCTACTCTACTCTAGTCTACTCTACTATACACTACACTACTCTACTCTAGTCTACTCCACTCTACTATACACTACTTTAGTCTACTCAGCTCAACTCAACTCAAAAACTGTATTATCCCCAAGGGGAAACTTGTTTGCATGTGGTGAAGCAATAACATAAGTACTGATAAGAATACAATACAATAATACAATAATGATAAACGATTTGTTTTAGCCCTGGGAAGTCGATATCTTCTCTCAGAGGGGAGCAGTCCAAACTCCAACCTCAGGGGTGGTCACAGATGGACAAGACAAACTGAACTTTGTTAAGGACCTGTCTTTCAATTTAAATTAAACAGGAAAACTAAACAAAAAGACTGAACAGACTATATAAAAGACCTATAAAAAGTATGATCAGGGATCAGCATGATCAAACAACATTAGTCTGCACAGAAAATACATTCGTTTTTTTACAGATCTGGGAAATGTTCTCATCAAACCTCAGACGATTGTCTAAGATGGTTCCCAGACACTTGTAAGACTCCACTGCAGAGCTGTGGATGACAGTTGGAGGTAGTGAGAATTATGGAGCCTTCCCAAAGTTAAGGACTTCACATTCAGGGTGTGGAAGTGCCTGTCACACCAGTGGACAAAGTCCTCCATGACTGGTCCATGCTCCACTTCTCCATCCTACAGCAGACTGACCTGGACTGTGTCATCTGCAAACTTCAACAAGTGTCTGTTTGGGTGCTTGCTCTGACAGTCATTTGTGTAGAGTATGTACAGAAGGGGTGAGAGGACGCACCCTTGTGAGGACCCTATGGATGACTCTTTTTTTTCTCTGAGAATACTCCATTTACTCTAACTCTTTGTGGTCTGCGTGTTAAAAAGTAATTGATCTGGTCTCCTCTACACAAGCTGGTACTAAAGTGTTCTAACTGACTGTGATTGGCCAGAGTGCTGCTGGAAGCTATGGATATCAAGGAATTTCCTCAGAAACTGGTTTGTTGTGGGGAGATTCCTAGGATAGAGTAGCTGATAGTGTGATGGAAACACAACCAGGCAGAGTAGAGTAGTAGAGTAACTACACCAGAGAAAGACCAGAGAAACCAGAGAGACCAGAGAGAGACAAGAATATATGTGTGATTATTACAGAAATAAAAGATCAGATACTACAAGAACAACCAGAGAGAGACCAGAGAGAGACCAGAGAGACCAGTGAGAGACCAGAGAACGACCAGAGAGACCAGAGAGAGAGACCAGAGAGAGAGACCAGAGAACGACCAGAGAGAGACCAGAGAGACCAGTGAGAGACCAGAGAACGACCAGAGAGACCAGAGAGAGACCAGAGAGACCAGTGAGAGACCAGAGAACGACCAGAGAGACCAGAGAGAGAGACCAGAGAACCACCGGAGAGAGACCAGCGAAAGACACTAATTACAGCCGTTTTGATGTATTCCGAGAGTAAAAGTGGAACAAATCCAGTTGAGTCTCTTCCTCTGCACAAGACTCTGAGTCCATCAAGAGGACAAAAGACACGTCCACGGGAGAGAGAGGGGAGCGGGCGATCAAAGGCTGGACCTGTCTGAGCAGAGACAAGAGGAGGTGGAGGAGGAGGAGAGGATAAAGAGGAGAGAGAAGGGAAGGGTGTTGGAGCGTTCAGGACCAGGGCTCATCCTCCACAAAACACAGTTCATTTCCTGGTGTGACAGAGAAGGGGATTTAGAGCCCACAAAGTCTGCCTCAGTCCGACTCTGGCATCTGCATAATCTCAACAGAATGTGAGGAAACTCCAGTCTGTAGTTTGGGAAAGAAAGTCCACAGACACAGAGACACAGCAGCAGGAGGCCGGAAGCACAGAGAGAGAGTGGGTTTCTCTCACACTGGTGTCTCACTAAAACACGCTTCACTTTTTGCTGTTTTGCAATCTTTTGTCAGCTTTTTATACAACAGCATCATATACATATTCTATAACCGCTATAGTATAACATGAAACTTTTGTGGTCTCTCTCGTTTCTCTCTCTGGTCTCCATCTTTGGTCACTCTCTCTGCATGGTCTCTATTTCTGGTCTCTTTCCCTGGTCTCTCTCTCTGGTCTCTCTCTCTGGTCTCTTTCACTGGTCTCTCTCTGGTATTTTTCTTTGGTCTCTCTCTCTCTCTGGTCTCTTTTTATGGTTTCTCTCTCTCTGTTCTCTCTGGTAATTTCTCTGGTCTCTCACAGGTATCTATCTAGTATCTTTCTTTGGAATCTCTCTCTGGTCTCTCTTTTAGATGGACGACTGAGGCTGTAGATCCAGGACTCATTACTTGAGTCTGATTCCTTGTTGTCTCTGGTTTGTGCTGGTTCATGTTTGTCATGTTTTTAGCAGGCCGTTGCGCTGCCTCTCACCAGCAGGGGACCGACAGAGCTGGAGGTAGCTACTTTAAATGCTAATTTCTGCTTCTGCTTCCTCTACACCTTTTAGCGCTAACTACAGACCAGTGTCTCCGCTTGGGCGATCACAAAAACTGCCCCCCCGCTCTGCTATCATCCACACTGCAAAAAACAACATCCCAGGTCTAAATTTGGCAAAAAAAAGTACCGGAGTTTGGTCGAATATTTCATTTAATTTCAAATTATCTATAGTCTATATGTGCAGTGGCTTTCAAAAATACCTTTGGAATAAAAACAATAGAATACAACCGGAAAGTAACAGATAACTATGATGTGAAACTCTCTCTCTGGTCTCTCTGTCTGGTCTCTCTCTCTGATTTTTTTCTGGTCTCTTTCTGGTCTCTTTCTCTGATCATTCTTTGGTCTCTCTGGTCCCTCCCTGGTCTCTCTGGTTTCTCTTTAGTCTCTCTCTGGTCTCTCCCTGGTCTCTCTCTGGCCTCTCTCTGGTCTCTCTCTGGCCTCTCTCTGGTCTCTCTCTGGTCTCTCTCTGGTCTCTCTCTGGTTTCTCTCTGGTTTCTCTCCGGTTTCTTTCTCTGATCATTCTCTGGTCTCTCTCTGCCTCTCTCTGGTCTCTCCTTGGTCTCTCTGGTTTCTCTCTGGTCTCTCTCTGGCCTCTCTGTTCTCTCTTTTTCCGTCACTTTGAGTTGCCTTGTGTATGAACTGGGCTATACAAATAAATCTATCTTGCTCTACCACTTTCTTTACCATTGAATCAACTGAAAAAGACTTATGTGTAATTGGAAATCCTCTTTTTGCAGTGCACATGTGTGGATCGGCCCGGGGCTAACGGGCCGTGTGCTAACGTGATGCTAATGGCGGCCATGACAGTTGTGTGTTGGTGTTTACACTGACAACAGGACGTTAGCTTCACGTCTGCTTCACTGACCGCTCACTCTGCACCAGATGCACCGGTGAGCAGGGTTTGGGACGCAGACAGAGCCAGCAGGGGGCCGTACCAATTTATGCACCAAATTCTCAAAATCCAATATTCTCGGACGAGTGGCTCAGTCAGACAAGTAGAAATGGTCCAAATGGAGTTCGGGCAATTTCCTTTAATGGACGTTAATAGATTAAAAGGATTAGTGTTTGTTTGTCCTCAGCTAAAGACGAGAGGTCAAAGAATTCATCATGGAACACACTGGACCTTTAAAGCCTCTGGCAGTGACTCTGTGTGTTCTCCTGTTTTTCTTACTTTGTTCATGAGTTTAAAACATGTTTTGGTTCATCCTCTCTGCAGTCTCCAGCTGCAGATGTCTTGCCTAAAGGAGTTTCTCAAGGTGGAGGGTGAGCAGCCTCTGCA